TTAGGGTTTGGGTGTGCAGTTCTGCCACACGAACAATGTGGAGATCATCGCGAGGGCGCATCAGCTGGTGATGGATGTAAGTTGCTGCTTTTATTTTTATTTTATTTTATTTTTATTTCTATTTATTTCTTTTTATTTCTTTTTGTTTATTTTGTTTCTTTTTCATTTCCTCCTTTATTCCCTTTATCTCTCTCCACTTTAAATTTCATTTTTGGCGTTCGCTGCGCAGCCGTTTCGCTGAGGGTTTAGGGTTTAGGGTTTTTGGGTTTAGGGTTTATCTCCGCGTGCGTCTGTCTTGTCGCGTTGGCCCCTTCTTTTGCTTCCCCTCTTTGAATCCTTCTCCCTCATTTAGGGTTTAGGGTTTAGGGTTTTGTCTCAGGGCTACAAGTGGTGGTTTGACAAGAGGCTAGTCACTGTCTGGTCCGCCCCCAACTACTGCTACAGGTGCTTAAACCCTAAACCCTAAAACTCTAAACCCGAAAACTCTAAACCCTAAACCCTAAAACTCTAAACCCTAAACCCTAGTGTACTACTACCACTAAATCCTAAACCCTAGTAGCCCCGTGCTCCCAGACTCTGAAAACAGTAAGCCCTAGAGCTGGCTGGTAAACCATAAACCCTAGCAGGTGCGGCAACCCACACCCTAAACCCTGATTCTGTGTTTCAAAACCCTAAACCCAAATTCTGTGTTTCTAAACCCTAAACCCTCGCAGGTGCGGCAACGTGGCGACTGTGATGGAGTTAGACGAACATTTGAATTACCAGTTCAAAACTTTCGAGGCTGCGCCGCCGGTGCGTCCCAAACCCTAAACCCTAAACCCTAAACCCTAACGCCTTGCGGGGGCGCTTCCAGCGCCTGCTTGTCGACTGGGCAGCGACCACCGTTTGCGCTGGGGCCTGAGGTAGCGTTTAGCGTTTAGGGTTTAGGGTTTAGGGTTTAGGGTTTGTCTTCGCAGGAGCGGCGCGGCATCCCCTCTAAAAAACCGCCGCCAGATTACTTCCTTTAGGGGCCCCCCTCAGTACCCTTTGGGGCCCCTTGCGACTCCCCTAGGGCCCCCCGGGGGCCCCTCTTTAGGGGCCCCTGGGGGCCCCCATCGAGGGGCCCGTAGGGCCCCTGGGGGCCCCTTAAGGGGCGCCCCTAAAGGGGGGCCCCCCACAAGTAGAGGCCCTAAGCAGGGCCGCCTTGTTAGGGGCCCCAAGGACCCCTATCTAATAACCGCTGGGGGCCCCCTTAGGGGGGCCCCCAGGAGTTGGGGGCCCCTATTAGGGGCCCCTATTGGGGGCCCCTATTAGGGGCCCCTATAGGCCCCATTAGGGGGCCCCTAGTTGGGGGCCCCTTATTAGGGGCCCCCTTTAAACCCTTTCGCGAGGACCGTTGAGGGGGGCCCCCCCTACGGGCCCTATCAGGGGCCCCCTTTAAGGGCCCCCTTTTTTAGGGCCCCCTTTTTGGGGGCCCCCTTGAGGAGCCCCCCTTGTGGGGGCCCCCTTGAGGGGCCCCTAGACCCTGCCTTGTGAGGGGCCCCATTGCTGCTTGCGTGGTGGTTTGCGGTGGCGCCTGTGTGGGGCCTAAAGACCATTGGTGAGTTGCTGCTGCTGCTGCTGCTGCTGCTGCTGCATCAGAGGCGAGTAGCTAGTTAGCTAGCTAGCTTGCTAGCTAGGTAGATAGCGGGGAAAGCCACGGACTAGCTGCTGCTGCTGCTGCTTGCTGCTGCTGCTGCTGCTGCTGCGAAGGGCCCCGGGGAGCCTCGTGCGGCGATCGACTCCCTACGGTAGAGGGCCCGGGGCCCGCTGCTTCGCCCATGTTGCTGTTGTTGCTGCTTTGCTGCTGCTGCACAGCTGCAGCTGCTGCTAGAATTATTGAGTGTTGCTGTTTGCTTGCACTGACTCGTGCTTATTGGGAGGCTGTTGCCGTCTCCTGTTGCTGCTGCAGCGGCTGCTGTTGCTGCTGCTGCTGCTGCAGCTTTTGCTGCTGCTGCCGCTGAAAGGCCCTGGCCTCTGCCACTTGCTGCCTCAGGACCCCAAACCTGCTGGCTAGCTGCTGCATCAAAGTCCGGCTGGGTCTTATTTCTTGAGATCTCTTTTTGAAAGTTTTAAATAAATCCGACTGAGACAAAACTCCCAAAGTGCTTCTCCCGTGGGACAAGAACTGCCGGGTCCACCGGCTTATCCCGTCAGAGGGGCCCCCGGGGGGCCCCTCGGGGGGGCCCCCCGGAGGGCCCCCCTGGGGCCCCCCGGGGGCCCCCTTGGGAGGCCCTCCTACGGAAGCTTCAGGGGCCCCCCCCTGGGGCCCCTCAGGGGGCCCCCCGGGGGGCCCACCAGCAACCCTTGGGGGGACCCCGGGGGCCCCTGCTGCAGCTTCTGCTGCTGCTTCCTTTTGAGGTGCAGCAGCAGCAGCAGGTGGGAGGCTCTCGGGACTTGGAGGCTGCTGCTGCGCTGCAGCCAACGGGAGGGGGCCCCCAGGGGGCCCCCCTCCCGCTGGCTGCGGGGCTTCGGCTGCTGCTGTCTCTTCAGTGGCTGCTTTGCCCTCTGCTGCTTCTGCTGCAGCTCCCTCTTCTGCTGCTGCTGCTTCTGCTGCAGCCCCTTCTTCTGCTTCTGCTGCTTCTGCTGCAGCTCCTTCCTCTGCTGCTGCTGCCGCCCCCTCTTCTGTTTCCTCTCCCTTCGGCGCCTCTTGTGTCTGTTGATTTGATTCTGCTGCTTCTGCTGCTGCTGCTGCTTCTTCTTTAGCCTCTTGGCTTGGCTGCTCTGCTGCTTCCTCTGTTTCCTTGCCCTCAGTCACCTCTTCTGCTGCTGCTGCTGCTGCTGCTTTGTCGGAGGCCTCGGGGGATGCTGCTGCTTCGCCGCTGCTGCTGCCCGCCTCAGTCTCGCCGCTGGCTTCGTCTGTTTCCCCTGAGCTTTCCTCCTGTGCCTCTCCCTCTGCTGCTTCCGTGCTGCTGCTGCTGCTGCTGCTTTGTTCTGCTTCGCCTGCTGCTGGCGCCTCCGCCTCCTCCTCCCCGTCTGTTTGCTGCTGCAAGAAGCTCTTCAGGGCCGCCTCGAGGGGCCCTCGGGGGGCCCCCAGGGGCCCCTGTGGGGCCCCCGCTCGCAGCCGCTGCTGCGGGGGGCCCTCATAGCTGTGGGCCAAAAGGTCACCTGGGGGCCCCTGCCTATGGTAGGCAGCAGCGGGGCCCCAGAGGGCCGGGGCTGCAGCGCAGACAAAGAGGTAGGCCCTCATGTTTGGCTGCTTGCTGCGGCTCGCCCTTGCTGCTGCTGCTGCTGTTGCTGCTGCTGTGGTGTCCGCGTCGCCGCTCGCCCAGCGCAGCAGCTGCAGCAGAGCAGAGGAGCCAAGAGACACCCAGGGTCACTCCTGGACAGCCGGAGCTCTTAGATTTGAATGAATGCCCTTAGAAGTAGCTGGGGTTTGGAGCAGCTAGTGCGGGTTGCAGCTGCCGCTGCTGCTGCTGCTGCTGCGGCTGCAGTTGCGGCTGCTGCGCGGTGTCGAGACAGCGTCGCTGGGCAGCAGGGCGCGGGCTGCTCCTTGAAATGGATTAAATTTAAGCAAACTATTCAAATTAAAGAACTAATTTGAGACAAAAAACAGGCTATGAGGGCTCAACGAGCCAGAGGCGCAGCAGCAGCAGCAGCAGCAGCAGCGACCGCTGGACTGGGCCGGCGGGCCCGATGCCGACCAGCGGCTGCCCGTCGGTACACCCCAACTCTCTCCTTTGTCTTCAGTTTATTTTTATTTTAAATAAAATTAATTACTATTTATTTACTTTTGCTTTTCTTTGGACTTCATAAACAGCAGGCAGGGGCGCGCAGCAGCGCCGCCTACGGCAGCCGCCGAGCCGACGAGTGAGGCCACCGTAACAGCAGCAGCAGCAGCTCCTGCTGCAGCAGCAGCAGCAGCAGCAACCAGCAGCAGCAACCAGCAGCAGCACCTAAACAGCAGAAGAATATCTAGAGAAGCAATACTGAAAAGGATATAAGGGAGCTAAGATAGAGAGCAGCAGCAATTTTATAGAGCTTTGGCGTCTTGGGCCCCTTAGGGGCAGCAGCAGCAGCAGCAGGAAACTGCAGCCACTAGTCGGCAGGTGTAGCAGTAGCAGCAGCAGGAACCTGCAGCTGTTAGGTAGCAGCAGCAGCAGCAGGAAGCTGCAGATGCTTCGCAGCAGCAGCAGCAGCAGCAGCAGCAGCAGCAGCAAGCTACTGCACTGCCGCGCCACGCTCCTGTTCAAGTGTCTAGGCACCTTTGAAGAGGAGCTTTAAAGGCAGCAGCAGCTGCTGCTGCTGTCCTCACTTCAGGTGTACGTACACCTCAGCAGCAGCACTGCTGCAGCTGCTGCTGCTTATTGGCTGCAGCGCCAAGTAATTGGCTGCATAGTGCAGCCAGAAGCAGCAAACAGACGGCTTCCTAGACCAGCTAGCCACGGCTAGCCACAGCTAGCCAGAGCTAGCTACAACTAGCCACAGCTAGCCGCAGCTAGCCAGAGCTAGCTACAGCTAGCCACAGCTAGCCACAGCTAGCCACAGCTAGCCACAGCTAGCTACATTAGCAGGAAGATGGCCTGCGCTTGGCTCCGAGCACTGGCCTCGCGAGTGTGTGTGCTGCTGCTGCTGTTGCTGCTGCAGCAGCAGCCGCTGCAGCAGCCGCTGCTGCAGCCGCTGCTGCAGCCGCTGCAGCTGCTGCTGGAAGCAAAACGAAGCGCAGAGACTCTGATACCCTAAACCCTAAAATGCCTCCAGTGCTAAACCCTAAACCCTCGCTCTTAGCCTCCGAACCCTAAACCCTAGGGGCTTTGCTGCAGCAGCAGGAAACAGCAGCAGCAGCAACAGCAGCTGCCGCGCTTTCCTAGAAGCCGCAGCAGAACTTCCGCGGGAAATAGCCGCAGCTAGCCACAGCTAGCCACAGCTAGCCAAGCTAGCCACAGCTAGCCACAGCTAACCAGAGCTAGCCAAGGCTACGTCTATACTGGGACTGGGAGTAAGCACTTTTTGCTGTTGAAGCCAAAGGCAGCTAGCGCAGCTAGCTAGCCAGCCTCACTGGCTTGCTGCGGTAGCTAGCTGCGGTAGCTAGCTGCGGCTGTTTGCAGCAGCTAGCGTTGCAGCTAGTCGCGGCTAGAAGCAGCTGCCTGTGGCTAGCTGCCTGTGGCTAGCTGCCTATGGCTAGCTGCCTGTGGCTAGCTAGTTCTAGCTGTGGCTATATAGCTGTGGCTAGCTAGCTGCGGCTAGGTAGCTGTGGCTAGCTAGCTGCGCCCAGGTAGCTGTGACTAGCTAGCTGCAGCTAGCTAGCTGCAGCTCACCTCTTCTGGGTGTGGCTGGGTAGGTATGGCTAGCTGCAGCTCGGCGTGGCTAGATGTGGCTAGCTAGCCAAGAAAAGCTGCAGGCAGCTGTGGCTAGCTAGCTGTGGCTGGCTAGCTACAGCTAGCTAGCCGCTGCTAGCTAGCTACAGCTAGCTAGCCGCTGCTGGCCAGCAACAGTTAGCTAGCTGCAGCTAGCCGTGGCTGCTCCCGCTAGGGTGACTGTTAGCTAGCTAGTAGCCACGTAGCGCCTGGACGTGGGAGCTGGCTAGCAGCTAGCTACCAGCTAGCTAGCAGCTAGCTAGCAGCTAGCTAGCAGCTAGCTAGCCGCTAGCTAGCAGCTAGCCGACAGCTAGCTGGCAGCTAGCTAGCAGCTAGCTAGCTACTAGCTAGCGGATAGCTGGCAGCTAGCTAGCAACTAGCTAGTGGCTAGCTAGAGGCCAGCTAAAGGTTATATAGCAGCTAGCTAGCAGCTAGCTAGCGGCTAGCTGCAGCAGCGTGTGGCTGGCGAGCTGACACTCCACCCCGTGAGTCTCTGCCTCTGCTGCTGCTTGTGTCTCCTTTTGCTGCTGCTGCTAGCCCCCTGTGGGGCCCCGCATCTTGCCAGTGTTTGGGGCCCCATAAGCAGCAGCAAAAGCAGCGAGACGCGGCGCTGCTGCGTGGGGCCTCGCGGCTGCTGCTGCGGGGTGTACGCACACCTCAACTCGGGGCTATCTCGGGGCTCTTTTCTTTCTTTTAAAGCTCTAAATAATTCATTTTTGTACTTTAGACAAATTAAGGTTTCTTTCTTCTACCAAAAAGGACAAGCTGGCTCCACAGAGGCCCCAGGGGGCCCCCCGGGGGCCCCCCGGGGCCCCCCGCGGGCGGGCGCGAGTGGGTGTCTTGGGGGTTTAGTTGGGGGCCTCTGTGGCAGTTATTTGTCCATTTTGGAGTTTAAAAAGAAGAACAAAATAAAAGCTTGACTTTGTGTTGTCGGGAAGGGTTTAGGGTTTAGGGTTTGGGAGAGTTAGTGCGTTTTCGCCGCAATGCCGGGCGTGCTGTCGAAGCCAGAGGCCCGGGAGGGCCCCCTGGGGGCCCCCGGGGGCCCCCCGGGGGCCCCCAACCCCCTAACCCCTAAGGAGGGGGAGGGGCCCCTCCATTTCTTTTGCCGCGTGGGCCTCCAGGGCCCCACAAAGGCCCGCCTGGCTGTGGGCTCTTTGGCTTTGCTGCTGTGCTCTGCATGCAACTTGGCGACTCCTTACCTTTTGGGGCTTTGCGTGGACTCTGCGCACATGGGGGCGCCCCCGGGGGGCCCCCCGGGGGCCCCCGGGGGCCCCCCGGGGGGCCCCCAGGGGGCCCA